ATGGTTATTGCTTTTCAGAAAATACATCAATCTTGTGCTAGCTGCACAGGAACTTTACACGTTTTCCAAGGGTTTAGTCAGGTTCAATGGGACATTCAAGGTCACACTGAGCTGGTGGGATGCTCAGACACTCGGGTTGTCCCAGCTCCACAATGGGAGCAGCAAATCTAGGAGGCAGGTCTCAAGCCAACCACAAGCTTCACAGCACACACATCATGGCAAGGGTCAGCAGGAGACAGGGAGAGAGGAGAGACAGCATGGACAGCTTCCTAGAAAAAGTTATATATATACATATATATATAAGGAGGGAGGACTTCGTCTCAATTCAGGCTTCAGAAACACAAAACCAGAACAAGATCCCATGCTTCCAGAAGTACAACCAACTAACACCCTAGCACGTTCACTCTGTCTTTAAAAGAAGCCTTTGGACAAAAACTATAAGGGGGTTGACTATCTCATAAGGAGCTCAAAGAAGGAAATTTGGGGCCAATCTCCTGGTAGCAGGAAGAGTACTGTCAAATTGATCTGGTTTGTCATCTAACACCTAAAATTGGGAAATGGTTATACCTAGTAGATCTAGTGAAACACAAAAGGCTGCCAATTTAAACTTCACCTTAGATGATTCACAGCTGGTCTCAGTTGTGAAAGCCTCACTGGCACTCTTTCTTCAGGGGTGGAGTACAACTACCAGCTCTTACAAAATTGCATTTCAATCAACACTTTATCAACTTCCACATGGCATTTTCTTTTAGGGACCATTTATTTTTCTATTCTGACATTATGTAGTTATTTATGTGCCCGAATACAGTTTTACATGATCTTGTGCAGTGTAATATACAATGCTTTCAAGACCTGGACTTTTGAGTGACTATGTTTATCAGCTGTTCCAGGCTTGTTTCGGTGAAATGTAGCAAAAGCAGTAAAACTAACAAACACATGAGAATTGTTAAACCCAAAGTTTGCTTCAAAGTGTGTTTTCAAAGCAGCATCCAGGTTTTCAAGCACCTCATGGTAATGTCAGTGGCATCCCAATTGCAGGTAAACTCCTGCTGGTTAGGAAACTCCTGGTTACTCTGAGAGACGGAGTTCAGAGCTCATCATTCCTAACTATGTGCTGACAGTCTGTAGAAAGCTGTTCCTCTGAAAAGCAAGATGCTAAATTGCCATGGACTCAGACCCAGGACCTTCTCAGACTTGCTGAAAATGTCTACACCCAGTGCTGCTCAAGGAGCCCCGAGGGGCACACACAGCCTGGCAAACTCCTGCCTGGGATCACCAGGCACCCAAACCCTGCCTTCCTTCAGAGCTGATGCCTACCCCTGAGTCAGCAGCTTATCGCTGTCACATGCCAACAGCCTCCACACCTGCCCCAACAAAGTCCATGCTGGCCAGCTCTTATTTATATTGCATAAATTAAAGTTTTATAGGCTATAAAGAAGTGTGGATACCCTTGGGAAAAAAAAAAAAAGAGAAAAAAAGATTTCCAGGCATGCTGAATAACAAACTGAAACTGTAACTAATTTTTTCCCCAGGTCTCTACCTCTGAAATTGCACACCAAAATAAAGCTTTCAGACCTGAGAAGTGCAGAAAATAAAAAACAAACAAACAAACAAACCCAAAGTGAGCTTTCACCTCTTGACCTGAGATGTGCAGTGAATTTAAAGTACATTTGGGGCCTGGTTTGTGTGAAATTATTTTTCATCTCTGTACTTCCTGGTTGAAGTCACGACAGTCACAGGCTTCAAAGCTTTGTCTGTGCAGGTTCAAGAGCTTTTACTTCAAATTTCTGGAGAAGAGAAGCAAAGACACCAGAGTACCTTCAGCACTGACCCAGCATCTTGCTCAGAAGTTTCAGTTATTTCCTCCATCTATCCAGAAAGGTAAAGCCTGCATATGTACTGTGAATCCTCAGAGGAAAGACACCATTGGAACTGCCTTATGCATGTTTCTTCTTGTGATTGTACTTTTATTTAAAGAAGCTCCTTTCCTGTGCTGTTTGCAGCCAGCCTCATTCTCTCCCCAGCTTCATTTTGTTAGGGACTTAGATCTAAGTTTTCAGTCTGCTCAGAAAATAGTCTGTTCTTTAATCATCCCTGGCCCTGCTCCAGTTTGAAATCATCTTTCTCAAATGGGGGTGACTGGCTCTGCATAAAATATTACAGATAAGATGGCAGGAAAGCTTTGTAAACAGCATTAATGCTGCTTTGATTTTTAAGGGAAGAAACTCCCCTGATTCATCCTGGCAAACTGACACTATTTCCAACTTGCAGCAGAAACTCACAGGTTTAAGTTGGAAACAGCACAAACCAAAGCACCACCCTCAGCACCCTTCTGTTTCTCCAGTGCTCCCAGGCAGCCCCACTTCTCCTGGCCAATGATCTCACCCTCTTTGTCACCACCATCCCTGCCTACGGTGTTCCCAACGTACCCAGCTCTCACAAAGGTCATTGCTGGTCCACTCCCTGCTGAAGAGCTTCACTAACAGTCTCTCCTCATCCTGAACATCTCCTTTAAAGGGAACTACTACTACCTTCCCCTTAAACTCTCCCTTTGATACCAACTCCTTTCCCCTGATGGGTAAGAGCCTTCTGCAGAACATGCCTGGGTGCTGCACTTGCCCCTTCATACTTTTCCCAGACTTAACTGGCAGCTGTTGCCAGAGATATCAGGCTACCTGGATTTTTACTTTTATCTAACACAGCTCTTCTTAGCCCCACATCATCATCATCCATTCAGAAGCATTTCTTCAAAACTCTGGATTGCAGAGAGCCTGCAGGTCTGCCCTTCTGCTCACCACCGTGTCACCAGACAGGTGTCCTTCCACTGCTATCACCAGAAACCTCCCAGTTAGCTAACACCATGGTTTTGTCCCACTGACTCCTCGGCATTTCCCATGCAGCTAAACCAATTGTGCTGTCACATACATGACTAAGACCAGGCTGGATGGGGCTTTGAGCAACCTGGTCTAGTGGAAGGTGTCCCTGCCCACAGCAGGGAGGATGGAAGTAGATGATCTTTAAGGTCCCTTCCAACCCAAGCCATTCTATGATTCTATAAGACAGACCAGCACCGCTTACAGCACTGTTAATACCAGTTCCTGCTCACAGCCTTCTCGCCAGCAAGAAACCCACCCAGCTGAGCTTGCCATAATATTAACACATGGCCTGCACAGACATCTTTAGTCATTTCGCAATTACACATAACCAGCGTTTTAAAAATACAGGTTGTCATAAGCCCATATATTTAAAACAACTTCCCCTTTTCATTATAAAGTGCAACTCCACAACTCCCTCAGTAACTGGAAAAATAATATTAATAATCATAATATCACATGCTTGAATACTCTAATTACAGAATCACAGAATATACTGATTTGGAAGGCACCCGCAAGGATCATCAAGTCCAACTCCTGGCCCTGCACAGGACCATCCCCAAGAATCACACCATGTGCCTCAGGGTATCATCCAAACACTTGAACTCTGTCAGGCTTGGTGCTGTGACCACTGACCTGGGGAGCCTGTTCAGTGCCCAGCCACCCTCTGGGTGAAGAACCTCTTTCTAATATCCAACCTAAACCTCTCCTGACACAACTTCAGACCATTCCCACAGGTCCTGTCACTGGTCACCACAGAGAAGAGATCAGTGCCTGCCCTTTCTCTTCCCCTCACGAGGAAGTTATAGACTGTGACGAGGTCTTAAACCAGACTAGATCTGGCTAGTACTCAGATGAACTCCTTGCAAGAAAAAGGCAAGGCAAGTCTGCATGTGAGGAGCTCTAAAGAGTCATTTTCTGAGCAATATGCAAACCCAGAAGGCAGTGACTACCAATTTTCATCTTCTGTGGCATGTTTCCAGAAGCAGTAGGTGTACTCCTGGCCAAAACCCAGCTCTAATTATACAGTGTCCACCTACTTCTACATTTCACTTGCAAGTTATTTTTCATGTCCTCTTTATAAAATGTATTGACTAGGGTTATTGGCACAGAGCAACTGATGCCTTCTCTCCAAGACCGTGTGTATTTGAAGTGTATTAGGAATTCAAATAGTTTTTATTATTTCTTATCATATTATTTGGTCAAAAACCAGAATATTATTAAACAGAATTGACCAAATCACAGAGAAGCTTCACTGTAATGAAAAAAAGCTAGCTATCAAACCCAAGTTTTTACCAAACTTCAATTTCTTAGATCAATTGACAGCTAAACCTCCATGGTCCTGCCATCTGCCAGAGGTGCTCACTTACCTCCCTTCCTTGTTCTAAAATGGTCATATTTGGGCAGCAAAGATCTGATCAATAGCAAGATGAGCAATGTCAGTGACAAAAGAGCCAATCTCAGCCTGAAGTGCCTGGTTATCTACTGTTTTTTCAGTGCCAGCATGGAAATACATTTTTCTGGATAGCCACAAACCACACTTGTGAAGGCTGAAGCAATGCAGAAACCAGTTAATTTGGGAATGCTCTCGTATTAACAAAGAAATCAATGCTTTTAAGTCTTAGCCTTCAACAGATAATCTGATTCCCCCCCCAAATTACTGCTTATCCCACTGCAGTTTGCACATCCCCTTACTATCAAGTTTATAGTCATTTCAGGCAAGCAAGAACTATGCAATAAGTTATGCAGAAGAAAAGAGAAAGATTTCCCAAAGTGATGAAAAATTATCATTAAAATACTAAAACACATTGGGAAGGAAGTGTTTTCCCAACTGTTCTGTGTAAACCTTATCAAAAGCAGCTGAATCTGTGATTGGGCTGGAAAAAAATAAGTCAGTCCAAGATGTGGCAGAGATGAACAGACACCCCATGTCAGCTAATGCCTGCCAGCTCCTCTCAGCATCACAATGCCTCTGATTTCTGAACACATGAGTTATGTGAGTCATGTATAAATAGTGTCGGTGCTTCTTTTGTTTGAAGGGATTTTGTTTCTTCAAAGGGTTATTCTTAAATATTCATTTGCTGTAGATACAGAATCAACATTTAAATTAATCATAGAAATACTTACAGACCAAACAATTATCATTCTTCTAGATACGGAGTGATCAATATTCCAGTAGGTAAATGGAAGGAAAGTGATATAAAAAATCTCTTCACCCAAAGCAGCTGAAAATCTGAACAAGTAGTAGTAGAAGTAGTTCTTCACAATATACTTCTGTGTGCAGTCCTGGAAAAGGAGAATTTTGCAAAGTTTTAATGAATTAGAAAATCACAGCAAACATTTAAGATACTTTAACTGCTACCGTTCCCAGACCTTAAACTAAACAACTTGTTATAAAAAGTGTCAAGAAATGAAGTTCAACTTTTATACTAAAGTGAAGACTATAGTGATAGCTCAACTACGTTTCCTGCAGAGCAGAAATCTATTCAGGCTAATTAAACCAACAGAAACTTTCAAGAGAAGGGATCAGCTCTTCCTCCAGGGTAATAAAGAGTATTTCAGAAAAGAGTACTGATGTGCTAAGTTTTTACATCTGTAGACGAAGCCACCATTGTTTTCACTGTTGAGATGAAAAACCATAAATTGGAATTAGCAAACCACTTCATTTAGGATTTGCCTCATTATAGCAGTCAAAGTTGACCCTGCTAGTTTGAGAAATTTGCTGCCAGGTCCACTGACAGCAGCATCCCCAGCACTGCCCTCAACACCGGGCTCTCCATGTGCCTCCCACCCCATGCTGCCCATGCCAGGATGCTCAGGGAGTCACCCCACGCTGAGATACCAGAGCTGTAAACTACAGCTTTTACATGGAACTGGGCTCAGCAATCGCAGCTGCACGAGCAGATCCAGGGGAAAACAAGGCTGTGAGTGGGCAGAGAGAGGAGCTGCCCCTGTCACCACCAGATTTTCACTTCTGTGAAATTTTTAAGTAACAACCACCAGGTTGTCTCTTTAAACATTACCAGCAGATACATTGCAATCAGTGACACTTTAGCACTTTATTTATTTATTTTATTAAGCTAGATATTTCATTCAATCTCTGGATTTGGCAGCTGGATGATTTCATAAGATGTACCCCATCTAATACCTTTGTATTCTCTCTTCTAAAAGGTGACACCCAGCCCTCCTGGGCTGGGAAGGCACAGAACAGCACTCATTGCTAAGTCCATGATTTTGTTCACTTGTCCAAAGTGTCTAGAAAAGGTTTGCTGCTGCTGCTGCTGCCATTTGGGACTAGGACACCACTAAGAACCCTCACATCCTGTCAGCAGGAGCAACATACAAGTCAATCACATTTTATAGGAGTACCTGTACAGTTAAGGAAAAAGAAGGATATATATACACACGTATATATACACACACACAAATGTATATGAAGAGAATTTTTGATCTGGGGAAGGAGCAAAGGAGCCAATCTAGACTCACTCCATCTCCCCTCCCCCAAATTAATATAGAAGCTGCCTATGTAAATATGAGAGAACTTCCTAAAGATGAGAAGTAAGAAGGGATCACAAAGGTTTCAGCATGGACACACTAAGTTAAGATATAGCTTTGACATAAGCTAGCAAAACCCTTCTAACAGGAACACTGTTATGCTCAGAGTGGTCTGTGTAATTCATTAACCAGAGAGAAACTCTCATCCTGTGTGCTAGTGACAAAATGTAAAAATTGTCTAAGGAGTCTAGATATACAATTGTGACTCATTGTAAAAGCCATTAGAAGTTTCAGTCATTTCATCTGCTTTTAATGCAGAGATGAGGCAAACTGCATGGACACTACAAAAGAAAGATGGAAAGAAGTTGCATCCATTCACCTATCGTAGAAAAAACACAACTTAAATTGATTTTTGTGTCAATAAACAGAAAAGATGAGTCTGAAACGCCGGGGTCAGAGGAGTGTTCCACCATCTATCAGTAGCAGAGGTCACAGAGGATTTACTGGAATCCCTCTAGGATAACACAGCAGTATGCTGGGGCTGGCCAAATGACAGAGCAATCAGTCTGAGTGTCTCTAGTCTCATCTGCCACTTAGAAAACACCCCAAGTGCAATTAGCACTCCAATGCTTCTTCTGTCTGAGATTCTGAAACCGTATTTGGTGACACTTAACGTGGCCCCACAGAAAGCCCTCTTCTGGCATCACTAACTCCTCAATTAAGCATCAATCCTCCAAGGTATTAGGAATGATGTGCTTGTGTGCTTTAGCTCAAGATGATCAGATATATCCCTAAGGTAATGCTTTTATACTCGGAATCTCATGAAATGAGGGATAAAATTTTCCAATTCCAATAGCTGTTTTGAGGGGAATAGTTTTTCAAATTCTAAAAGAAATCTGGAGTTAAAAAAGTATTTCCAGGTAGAAGGTAGGGCCAAGTCCTTCCACGTGATTTTTAAAACCTTTCTTTTTCTTTCTCCTTTCCTATCAGAAATCACCCCCTACACACACTTGTTTGGGATTTTTTGTTTGCTTGGGTTTTTAACACTTTCTTTTTTTAACTCTACACCAGCAGTTGTGCACAGCCAGTGTGTGGCAGGGGACAAACAGAGTCTGTCTGTGACCCACAGTGCTAACAGCCACATGTCAGACATGCATGGTATCACCACTTGATGTTTGGTAGTGCATGGTAACAAAAAGTTGATGTTTGCACTCATTGTGATCCTAAAGCATTGTAAGTACAGCAAACCTGCTCCAGGCACCTTCAGACAGCAGTTAGCTCACCTTCACTATTAATACACACTATTCCTGCAGAAAGCAAGGACTGCTGTGCTTTGAGAAGTGTCTTCCCTTTTTATTCTCATTCTAACCCCAGTGCAGGAAAAGTGATTGCAATTGTTCATGTGAACATTTAGCATATTCTAACATTCTCAGAAGTTTATCCAACCTCTAATTTTAAGTAACTCTGATCTTTAGACTTGGTTATTCTTAATGTACTGAAGTGACCTGATGCCTTTCACAATCCCTGAAGCCCTTTCAGTGAGTCAGCCCTTTCATGCATCTCCACTGCTATTTGGTCTGGACCAGAGGGGTTTTAATGGGCAGTAATTAAGGCTGTATATAAAATCAGAATTTTAGAGCATTTTAGGAGCAAGATGCTATAAGCCATGACATTTGCAGATGCAGAAGACACATAATTCCCCGCAAATGACTCTTCTCATCAACTGTAAAGTACCTATTTTTTAAAATCCTTGACTGCTCAGAATATAAGAAACTCTCATGAATGTGTATAAATTAACTGTAAATTAACTACTCACCTGAAGTATTGTCATGGAAAGTGGCTATTGAAGGTCATCCCACTTTGGCAGTCTCTGCACTTGAGTGGGTCACCCACACCAGGTGCTGCTCCATCTCAGGGCCCTTGAGTGCAAACCCTGTACCACAGCACCCACTCAACCTCCCTGGAGCATGGGATCATCCCCAAAGCATTCCTACAGAGCAGTAATGACAGGGCCAGCAGAGCAGGGCAAACCAACACCATGGTGACTCTGGAGATACAATAACACACGATGACACAGCATAGGAGGAATCCATCATTTTAAAAGGATGTGCATATGTAACATATAGCCTTCAAAGCTGAAGTGAGGGAACAGCAGCTGAAGTGAAGGAACAGCAGCTGCACCACTAACAGAACATGTATTTTTAGGCAGAGGTATAACCCCACAAGACAAAAAAATAATAGCTGTGTAAAGATACTGCTCCTGCAACTCCTGTGGGATATCTCTTGTCAGAGATCTAAACAGGCCCTGGCTTATCTTGCCCTGTCTCTAGAGACAAGCTTTGCAGCATCAGACCTCTAAGGCTCAGAGTCTGAACCAGAGATACAATTAACCAACACTCTGTTCTCAGCTCTCAATTACTTTGGATCTTTTAGAAGATGTACATGTTTAATTGAAGTTCTTGAAGTCCCTTGCTTCCCCTTCCAACAGAATTGCCTTGCAGAAGATCAGCGATTTCCCTCCCAAAGTCCGTAGTTAATGCATTGCAATATTTATCATTTAAGTGATTTTTTTTACTGCAGTAAAAAAAAAAAGGTACAAAATTTAGAGAAGCCACCAGAAACCAGGAACAAGGGGAAAAGCCAAAAATTCTAATTTAGATGTTGCTGCACATAGAGAAAGTGTAAATCAGACAATTCAGCCCCAAAGGGCAGTGCTGTCTGGAGTATAAGCAGTGGGAAAAAACATTCTGTACTCCAGTCTTCTGTAGAAACAGTCAGTCTTACATCAGCTTCTATGTTTACTAACAGTTAATAAAAGAACCTATCAAGTCACAACAAAAAATTAGAAATTGGTGATTAGATTTTGGAAAATGAGAAAAAGCAAAAACCATGATTATCAAAAAGCTTCAGCTCTTCCATCCATCTCAATGTCAAACGCATTCAGAGTTTCCTGAAGATCCAACAAGCAGCTGAGAGCACTCAGTAACACTCCAGGACCTATGCATTCACCTTCCCTGGGGGCAGCAACCCTGGAACTCACTGTTCCAAGAGGAAAGGACAGGGTGGCCACGAGACAGGCGCTGTGCCCAAGTGGGAGATCCTGATGTGGCCATGAGCCCCTCATAGGGAGGGGCTGGGGGCAGAGCACCCATGGTGAGGTGAGGGAGGAGCCAGCAAAGGAGGGTTACAGACAGATGGAAGGAATTGCAAAGATGTCAGGAAGACAGTGGTGGGGAGGGCAATAGCACAGGAAGCCCCAAGGCATGAAAAACGCACCTAACCAAACTCATACATATGTGCAGCTTCCCACTCTGTTCAACCACTTTTAAACAAGTAATTCATTTTTTACCCTCTACAGAATGTGAGGCAGCCAGTGAGCAATAGTTGTGCAGTCTACATACTGTTCTTATTGAAGGAGGGACACCTAGAGCTAATGAAACCTCAGAAATGTGGAGACTGAGACAAACAGAAATCACAAGAAAATGCCATAAAGTTCAGTCCAGCTCTGCTGTTTGCAGCAAGTGCTTGTTGAGTAGTACACAGAGAGGCAACACAGTCCAGCTCCCAGCAATTACAGGGACATGTGGTCTGGGACCATCAGCTGATGCAGAAGCAAAGACAATCACTGCATGAGAAGTAACAACACATCAGCTTCAAGCCAGAGAGTTACAGAGAACCTTCAGTCATCTCAGGCAAAGAACAAGTGGGGAGCCTAAAAACCAGGCAGAATCCCAGTAACATTTCTTAATTCATTCAAAGCACTA